TGTCTGATGGGTCAGGCTTCTGTTATGGATGTTTGCAGAGGCTAAGTCAGCAACGGTGAAGCCTTATTTCCTTTCGTGTGTTTGATCATTATTTGCAATTAATAAAATAGCATGACCTTACATTAACCTTAGAGTTGAGCTATCCAACTATTTAATACTCCTCGGGACATCTTGGAAAGGCGGAAGCTGGCTGGCATGAGGGGAGCAGCTTGTGGAGCGGAGCAAGTTGGCAGCCCTCTGGTGGGAGCCAGGGAAATGCAGGGTATGAGCAGCAGGGAAAGCAGAAGCACAAGTCAACTGGAAGCCACAGCAAGGGGAGAATAAAAAATCAGAACTTGACAACAGAGGTGGCAGAGAGTGGTGCTCACTGAAAGACAGCTGGGAGGGTAGCTGTGTTGGTGGGTGCAGAGGACAAACTGAGGCAGCCAGTCAAATGAACAAATCAAGGAAGGATGGTGTCCGGAAAAGCCACAGAGATCACGCCAAAAGCTGTCTAGCTCAGGACCAAGTCTGCAGCAGGAGCAGCATGTAGTTATCTTTCCCATTTATTCTCCCAGCCTTTGCCAACTTATAATTTAGGGGCTTCTTGAGTCAGAGGTGGCATCTTTATGAAAAGAGCTCTTCATTTTTCTCCTGTAAATCTGTCCCTTCTTTAGTACACAGAAATTGCTAAAGAGGTCAAGTGATATTCCCTGTAACAGCTGAAGCTGGCAGTGGAAGCATGGAGAGACTCCAAACAGAGAAAGACTGGTCAAGTGTAAGCTATAGAAAAATGCTAGTGGGTGGGAGTGGAATGGACCAGAAGTGATAAGGAGAAAGATTGGGATATAGTTCTGCTAAGAAAGACAAAAAAAAGAAAAGAAGGGGAAGAAGAGAGGGGCACAATGTTGCTGAACAGTGGAAGAGGAGCTGGACACCCTGGACAGTTGTGTCGTGGCAGGAAGAGGAGCAGGACATCAGCTCCAGGCCAGGGATATGGGAGAACAGCTGTGGATCCTGTGTCTCGTAAGAGAATTCAAGCAAAGCTAAGACCAGTGTTGATTACAGGCCTGTAATCCTTTTCAGGACTGCAGTTTGGCCAGGAGAAAAGGAAGGGATTTGAGGTTGAAAACAGTGATATAATCAAATATTGAAATGGTAATAGCCAAAGGACAGGCTGAGGTGTCAAGCCTTGCCAGTGGTGTGGATGGGAAAAGCTGAGATGGAAAGAAATGCAAATGAGGCCTAGCAAAGATGAAGAGTTAGAGCCAGGGAATGCAGAGGTGTGGTAGGAGCTGGGTGGAAAAGACCCGTTACCTGCTTACAAAACCGAAGGGCGGAGGTCTGAAATCATACTACAAAGGTGAGGGAAGGGATGCATCAGTGTGGGAGTGAATAAAGAGGAAAGAAGATATAGCAGGTAGGGGAAAGGAGCTTTCAGGGCAAAAGGGTATCTGAAGGGACCTTGGTGTCTGTGTGATGCTTGACGACTGTCACATCCATCCTGAGCCTTTCCAGGAGGCTGAACTCCCCACTTTCCAGGAAGCTGAACTGCTTCACTTGGTTGGCACTAGTTGCTGTTGTTGCCCTGGAACAATGAAGAATTATTCAAGAAGATTTTGTTGTATTAATTAATCATTATTTTTACAGTGGCTGTGTTACTAGTTGTTGATGATTCATAAACTGCAGGGGTTTAAGTCTGCAAACATATGGGGAGCTAAAGATTTTTGTATTGGTGTTTAAAAGGGTGGAACTTTAATGAAGTGGCAAGTACATGTTGCTTAAAGGTACTGCTATGATAGTAAGGTAATTGACGATCAGTGATTTATGTAAACCCATAGGATTTAAGAAAGTGCTATTGACTTTGTCTTTAATTATTTGATTAATAGCTGATTCCTGTGGGGATTGCCTAGGAGGTTAGAATGATACTGGAAATAATATTGGGCAGTTTAAAATGTTGAAACAAGTTTTTTTTTTTTCACTGTTTTTAAGCTTTTGTTATTCCCAGATGGTCAGTTTATTTATGATTTCTTTGCTTCCAGCCCTGTGTCTGTTCCTCTGCTCACTGAAATCAATTCTCAATTTTCTCACCAGCCTCTTTGGAACCAGGCTTGTCTTCACATATTTTACCAGAAAAGTTTGTCATGAGCTACTGTACTAATTGATTTAGGTTGCAGATCTATTAGCAGTCCTTCCTGACAGTCAATAAAATAATGAGAGATTTAGTTAAGTTGGAAATCATCAGCGATATTTACTTAAGTCAGGAAATGAGCAGAGGTATGGTCATGGTATCACTAATAGGCAACCTCCACATAGTCAGGTTCTTCTGGGAGTTAGCAAGATGTGGAACTAGTTCCTTCAGGACAAGAAGAGATCCATAGGACATTTGTGAAGGCCAAGAACTCATGTCATTATTCTTGCTGCCTCCTCTAGCTGTGTTCTGAAAGAGAAAAGTGAGATAGTCATTTGTACCCAGAGCAATTTGGGCATTTCAGCTTATGTAACAAAACTCAGAACTCCGAAGTCCAGGAAGGAGGATTCCAGACATACTTTTTGCTGTATCTGACAGGAAGGTTTATTACTTTCTATGCTCAGGTTCATTACCAGTCTTTATTTGAGAGTCCCATCTGTTTCCATGCATTGTGTAAGTAATTAAGTTGAGCAGCTTAGGGACTTAAAGGTTATACATGGCAATCTTTCAGATGTAGCAGCACCTTTTCTGCATCCTTGTGTGGTTCCGACCCTATAATGTCTGTGCAGAGCAGGATTGGGACAAATTCACCTATATCAGGGATCTCAGTTTTTCTAGTCCTCATGAAGCTTTCCCACTGTTACCAAAGGCAGGAACACCCTTAAACTGGGAGTGGGGAAGAGAGGGAGACCCTTATTTTTAAGTCCTTCTCTTCAGGTACTTTCTGTTCACAAGGCTGACACAGAAGCAGTAGAGAGAGAAACCATGAGTCACAGTTATGTGGAGTTGTTATTGTTTTAAAATACCCAGGCTGAGAAGTGGCTACCCTATAAAGGAATCTCTGTGAAGGGATTGACAGACTTGCCTGCAACAATCTGTGTCAAAGACACAGTTATTCCATCTCAGAAAAACCCAGTAATTAAAGCTGAATGTCCTCTGAAATGGTAGAAAAGTGGAAGGCAAAAAAGTATCTGTGTCTGAACTGTCTTTTGTGAAGGATCCCAGGCTCTTGAGCAACACATTCTGGAACAGCCAGAGCTGTGCATTGTGAAAAAAAGAGGCTTTTGTACTGATACTGACCAAGTCCGTTGTGTATTCTTACAGATTCCTCTAATGAGACTACTTCAAAACTTTTTTTTTATTAAATCAAAATGAATCATGATAAAAAAATGTATGTAGGAGTTTCATATATATTACCATTGGGGTGTGAATGTGCTGTTTTACTCTTTTGGTGGAAGAAGGGTTGTAAGCTTTCAGAGAACAGTATCTCTAACCTTATTTGTACTTCATAGTTGATGATGGGTGCTAACTGTCATTTCTATTCTGACATGCTTACTGCCATAAAGTTACATTCTGCTATGGCAGGAGCTTAGGTGGGAAGTGAAGTTTGTGTGAGAAAAGGAGAGGTTAACTATACTTATATTGGGGGCAGATTTTGCTTTGGAAAAACAGTGGCAGACTTTGTAGTTTAACCTTTTGGAGTGCTGCCTGTTGCCACCTTCTGACTTATGTTGTTGGACTGAGAAGAATCGATGCTCAGTGGTGCATGAAAGTCCAGTGTGTCAGTTGTAGCTGTACATAATACCGCTGTCTCACGTGCAGGCAAGGCTGTTAATACTTAAGAGATATTGTATTCTTCAGGGGAAAAAGTTGAGTACTGGTAACTCTGTCGATTTTAAATGTTTATACACAGATTCCTTTGGAAAATACTAAATAGAAGAATAAGGTACTACCTGGACAAAAGGCTCAAGCTAACGAGCACCATAGAGCAAAATGCTGCACAAGTGAGGCTCCAGGATACCTGGGCATCAGGGAATGGTCCTGGGAATCTGCCTACAATCAGAGTTTTGTTCAAATTATGTGTCTTGCAGGGCAGTTGCTTTAACTCACCTACAGCCGGCACCTGGGCTAACTGGTACCAGGAAAGCAGAGAATCTGCCCTTTTGGAGGTTGCTAACTTGCAAATAATCCTCCATACACATGAGGGGAACAATGCTTTAAGGTTTCAAAGACTCTTTAAGTACATGCACTGTGGGAGGACAGAGGTATTGTTCAGTTGCTTAACAACCTTTGGTAGCAAATGGCCTGGAGTGCAACAAATCAGTAGTGTACAGGAGAAGTGTATTGATACGAATCAAGACACAAAAGGTATTAAGGTAGTCCAACTCCTAGGAAATATGGCAACAAAGCAGACACAGCCAATGACTTCTGGCTTTCTTGTAGTAGCTTTAAATTACGATGTGCTCTCATGTCTTTTGAAAATCTCATGTCTCACATGGTAGCAATGCTTCTTCCTGCATACTAAAGGCTATGGTTCTGGAATACTATTTTAAATCTGCAATCCAAACAAGTTCTCTTCTCTGAAAAGCAATTTTTTTTCTTAACCAAAGCCATTAAAATATTATTATTGAATATATGTCACAAGACCTTTAATACAAGTTCAGTATTACATTGAATTGAATAAGGCAATTTTTGGCTAGCAAAACATAGCTTTCTGTAGTCTGAAGCAAAATGTAAGTTCTTCTGTGTAACCAAGGAGC